GGGTACGCGCTCACGCCGGGCCTCGGTGGCCTCATGGCCGGCACCCACTTTACGGTCTTTGGCGCCAAGATTGACGAGCTCACGGCGCCCGGTCTTGTCCTTACGATCCTCAACCTCATCACGATGATCCTCATGTTCTTCACCTTTGACGAGTCGATTGGCTCGGGCGACGCGCCGGACGTGAGCCCGAAGCGCACCAAGTCGCAGCGCCTCACCGAATTGGACGAGGACACGGTCGACTTGCCGCAGTCGCTCATCTACTGGGGCATCTTTGTCTTCATGCTCCTCAACATGCTCACGCGTGGCATGCTCGCGATCTTTGAGACGATCAACGTCCCGTTCTTCCTTCAAGTCACGGGCCACAGCAGCAGCCAAGCGATCATGGCGGCGTCGACGTTCCAGTTCAACCTCGGCCTCCTCGGTCTCTTCTCGTACGGTGCGATCGAGCTCTGGCGGAACGCGATCAGTGACGTGCTCTGGCTTCTCCTCGGCTTTGCGGCCGGCGCCCTCGGCAACTTTGTGCTCCTCTGGAACGTGAGCCCCGACTGGGCGTACACGCAAATGGTGGTCGGTGTCTTCTTCGTCTGGAGCATCTGCAGTCCGCTCACGACCGCAGTGTGCGTCGTCGCCTTCTCCAAGATCCTCGGCACGCGCCAGCAAGGCACGTGGATGGGCCTCCTCGGGTCCGCCGCGTCCGTGTCGCGCATCATCATGCCGCTGTTGCCGGCGCTCTTTTCGTCGTTCAAGCCCGTCTTTTGGATCAACTTTGTCGTCTCGGTAGCGTGCATTGGCCTCCTCTTTTGGTACGATAAGCTCGTGCACAAGGTCAAGCACGCGCTGCTCGCGGGCGAGTCGCAGTCGCTTGTCTAATCACGACGAATCTATCTACTATAGTACTACTCTTGAAGCGCCATCATGCTAGTGTTTGCAGTGAGCTCGACTAGGACCGACAACCAAAGCACTCGTGTTGGCGGGAAGGAGGATGCCTGGCTGTAGAGCGCCACGCGGGACGCTAATTGCTGAAAACCGCTACTACTGTAGTAGGTGCTGTCCGTGTCATTCGTGGTTGCTATAGCACACGCGAAGAGGCTACGTCTTGGTGTGCAGCGTCGCGTGGCCAAGG